AAAAAAAAAAAAAAAAAAAAAACCCTTACACGGGACTTATGGTCCCGGTGGTACCAACGGGTGGTCGGAAGGCTGGCAAACGGCTCCCTCAACCCCCGGTCGTTCGACGCTGCGGCAACCCATTTCCATTTGGCTGCGCCCACGACCTCACTTTGCTTGTCGCGTCGTTGTTGGTCCGTCGTCGCGCTGCAGTGAAGAGCAACACAAATTTGGAAGCGGAAGTTCTTGACGATCACTGACGCCATACAGGGGAGAGAGAGACTCACAGAGAGAGAGAGAGAGAGAGAGAGAGAGAGAGAGAGAGAGAGAGAGAGAGAGAGAGACCCATTGACCCCCCACCGCCTGTACTACTTCTATGCTTCGTCCCGTTCCACCTGTCTCCCCCTCTTCTTCCCTATTTGTCGTGCACCTTGTTGGTGCCTCGTAGGTTCGTACTAAGTTTTTCCTTTGTTGTACGTTGTTTTTTTTTTTTTTTTTTTTTTTCAACTTTTTCGTACTCTTAGACATTTTTGCTTGTCACCCTGCTGTTTCGCTTTTATCCCAGACCATCTACTACGTACCGCTCCTACCTTTCTCCTCTTAGTTCAATTGTTCACTTTTTTTTTTTTTTTTTCGCTGGGATCTTTTTCCTTTCTCGTGGTGGTAGGACCGTGCGCCATGTAGCGCCTTGTCGTTCCCCTTCTTCCCCCTGTTCCATTCTTCCTTGCACGTTCAGGGTATGTTACAATGCACAAATTTTACTATTTTGTCTATTATTATTATTTTTATGATTTATTTATTCGTATTGGGGGCCATCTACACGTTTTTCCATTACAAATTTCCCCTTCCTTTTCCTTCCGCCGCTGGCCCCATCTTCATTGTCTCCGCATCAAACACAAGCCTTGTGCATCATCCATCACTTTGGGTGTCGCCATCGTAATGTGAGTCATTTTTTCCCCTTAGTTTTTTTTTTTTTTCAATACATTTGTGTACATCACGCTCCTCGTCTTCCCTTTTCCCTAAATCATCGTGCCCCTATTCTTCTATTTTTCCTAGAACATCATTTTCTTCAATAATTGACTGCTATTTTCCAATGATCTTCTCACATGCATGCACGTCTGTCCAGCAT